GGCCGGCAGCCCCCCGCCTCCCCAGGGGGCCGGCAGCCCCCCGCCTCCCCAGGGGGCCTCTCCCCTCACGGCAGCCCCCTTCAAGGCCCACCTCCTCCCCTCAGGGCCGCCCCCCTCCAAGGCCCACCTCACCCCCGCTCTCCCCCAGCCCCACAAGACGGCGGGAGGGGGAGGGGGAGGCCGTCCCCGGGAGGCGGACGGTACCACGTCCCCTCGCCGCCGGCCCCTACCCTGGCTGGCGCTCTCCATGACGGCGCCCCGGCCCCGTCCAGCCGCCACCGAAGAAGAAGCCACCGCCGCCACCGCCCCCCCGGTGACGCAATCAGCGCCGCGCCGCCCCGCCCACTTCCGGGGGAGGGTCGCGGGGAGAGCGCGTCACCCGCCGCGTCGCCACGGTGACGGCGCCACGTTCCGTTCCCCCCACGTTTCCTTTCGCTCCCCCGCCGGAAAGGGCGGAGGGTGACGTCACGGCGGCGGGGGTGACGTCACGGCGGCGGGCGGGGCCGGCGGTGCGGTGCTGGCGGGCGGAGGGAAGGGGGCAGCAGCGGCACGGCCCGGCCGGGCCCTGGCGGGGGGACACGCTGCGGGGCCGGTGCCGGCGGCCTTCTCCCGCCCTGCTCGTTAATGAACCCCGGTAATGAACCCCGCTGCCCGCCCTGCGGGGCTCGGCGCTGCCGGGTGGGCCTGAGGGCGGCCGCGGTGCCCAGACCCCCCCTCCGCGGGATCACAGGGTGATATTTGGAAGGGACCTCTGGAGATCAGCTCCTCCAACCCCCCTGCCAGAGCAGGGCACCCAGAGCAGGTCCCGCAGGAACGTGTCCAGGTGGGTTTGGAATGTCTCCAGAGAAGGAGACTCCACCACCTCCCTGGGCAGCCTCTGCCAGGGCTCTGCCACCCTCAAAGTGAAGAAGTTCCTCCTCATGTTTAGGTGGAACATCTTATATTAAACCTTGTGCCCATTCACTCTTGTCCTGTCCCTGGGCACCACTGAAAAAAGACCAGCCCCATCCTCCTGACACCCACCCTTAAAGTATAAGCATTGATCAGATCCCTCCCCAGCCTTCTCTTCTCCAGACTAAACAGACCCAAGTCCCTCAGCCTCTCTTGATAAGAGAGATGCTCCAGGCCCCTCATCATCTCTGTAGCCCTCTGCTGTCCCCTCTCCAGCAGTTCCCTGTCCTTCTGGAACTGGGGAGCCCAGAACTGGTCCCAGTGCTCCAGATGGAGCCTCACCAGGGCAGAGCAGAGGGGCAGGATGACCTCCCTCCACCTGCTGGTCACACTCTTCCTGATGCCCCTCAGGATGCCACTAGATGCTGATCACAAAGTAACCAACAACAGAACATTTTTAAAGCCATCTTCAGAAAGCTGTGGATGGTAAGGGGACCAGCAGAATAATGGCCCAGGCTCTTTGGACACTGGGGACAAGGACGGACTTACCCAGAGGGCTGAGTCCAACAGTGTCACCTGTGGTCACTGTAAATCCCATTCAATCTCTAGATGCACAGTAACTTTTTTTTTTTTTTTTTTCCTAAATAAGCTCTTCCATCATATCTAGATGAAGATGGGCAGCGCAGAGGGGGAGGATGACCTCCCTCCACCTGCTGGTCACACTCTCCCTGGTGCACCCCAAGATGCCATTGGCCTTCTCGGCCACAAGGGCACATTGTCACCTCATGGTCATCATGTGGTCCACCAGGACTCCAAGCTCTTTCTCCTCAGAGCTGCTCTCCAGCAGGTCAGCCCCAACCTGTCCTGGTCCATGGGGTTATTCCTCCCCAGGTGCAGCACCCGACACTTGCCTTTGTTGAAGTTCATCAGGTTCCTCTCTGCCCAGCTCTCCAGCCTCTCCAGGTGTCACCGGATGGCAGCACAGCCCTCCGGCGTGTCAACCACCTCCTCCCAGTTCTGGGTCCTCACCCAACTTCCTGAGGGTACACTCCATCCCCTCAGCCAGGTCATTGATGAATATATTGAAGAGGACTCCCCACCCACCCCATTCCCCTCCACAGCCAGCACATCTGGGAGCCCTGTCCCACTTCCAGATGTGCCTCAAAAATGTGGTTTTCCAGGAGGTGCCACCTGCAGCAGCCAAAGGGGAAGCGATGATGGCAGAGGAGGGTTTCTTTGTGTCCCCCTGGCTGCCCACCCACAGGCCTCGGCCCCTGGCCACCAACCTGCCCATGGTTCTGCAGGGGCTGGGAGGGCAGCGGGAGCCAAAACTCCCTGGTGGCGCAGCCTCCATTTCTGCTTCAGCTTTGAAAAAGGGCGTCAGGGCGAAGGGGAAGCCCTGGGCCGCTCCGCTCCCATTCATTTTCAAACCCTCCTCCCTGAAAAGCCCCCCCTCGGCTGGAGCCTGGCTTCCCGGTATTTTCATTTCCTGGAGCCTTTTCCACGCGGCCTCTTCGCGTGTCCCAGGGTGAGGCGTGAAAAGGGAAGCGAATATAAATGGGGAAATGGGCATGAATCTTTCAAAGCCCTTTCCAACAACCCGCCCGAGTGGAGGGTTTGCATTTAGAGCCCGCCAACACCCCTGGAAATGCCCTTTCTGAGCATCAGCACCGCCCGCTCTGCATTTCTGCTTGTCCTCAAGAGGATGGGGAGCATTTGAACAGCTCAGCTTTTTATTTTAGGGGCTTTTGGAGGGATTACTGTGAAGTTCGAAGCCTCAGCGCAGGTCTCATTCTGAAGCTGGGCACAGTGGAAACCCAGGGAGTGGCTGAATGCTGAGCCCATGTGAAAAAATCTGGATTTTTCCAGGCTTACCAGAGCCCGGTTTCCTGAAAATCTGGCCCCGAGAGGTGGCTGCAGCGGGAGGAGCTGGGAGGGCTGAGACTCACAGGGAGCTGCAGTGGCCTCTGCCAGCTCTGCCAGGCGTGACACCACGCTGCCAAGTCCAGCCTCGCTGACCAGCCAAGAATCAGGCTGTGCCCCCCAGGGACGCGGAGAATCGCCCTCTAAAGACCCCCCGCTCCAGCGGCTAATTCCGCTCTACCTTCAAGCGCTGGCTTTTAATTAAATGCATCATGCTGCCAACTTAATTATTCCTCATCCCAAGCCCTTGAAGGGTGTTGGGAAGGGGAGAAGAGCAAGCCCGCGTTTGGGGAGGGGAAAAAAATAAAACCTCAAAATCTTCTTTTCGGAGGATCGTTGCTTTTGTGTGAAACCACTGCGGCTCTGCCAGGGGCTGGGCAGAAATTTGGGGGCAAAATGTCTGCGCCATCTGCAGAGGCGTTCGCTCACCCTGGCAGCTTCACGCCCTCCACGTTCCCCCCGAGTTCCCCTTTTGCTGCTGCCGGGCTTTTCACTCGGTTGGGGCTTTTTTTATTATTTTTTTTTATTATTTTTTTTTTGCCATTTGCTGGCAAACGCTGAAATGTCAGGCCTGGGGCCGGTTCCCTTCGCTGATCCCCTTCCAGCCGTGCGGAGGCGGAGGGGAGGGAAGGGGCCAGTTTCCACGGGTTGGGGGGGGGTGGGGGGAGATGTCTCCTTCGGGAGGGGAGCGGCATCTCCCTGTGCCCGGGCATTGCTCCGGGTCTCTGGAAAGCACATGTTCCCCGGGCAGCGCTTTGTTTCCCAGCCCAACTCCCAAACCCCGGCTGTTTCCCAGCAAAACGAGGAATTGTGTGAATGGCCACGCTGCCGGGAAGCGGTACCCGTGGGCGTCCTCGGCCACCACGGATCCCAGGACGGGGATGCTCCCGGGTGAGCACGGACATTTCCCAGCCACCGGTTCCCCACGTCCACTCCGGGCTCGGGCAGGCACCGTACAGCTCCGTGGCTTCGCTGGGAAGCCGATGTGGGCTCCATGCCCCCTTTTAAAGCAAGCCCTGACCTAGATTTCCCTGCCCGCTGCAAAGCCAGCTGGGCTCTGCTCTCCCCGTCGCTCCTCCCCGCCGCTGGAAAGGGCCCAGCAGAGCAGTCCCAGCTCCTGCTCGTTAAGCCAGTGGCTATTAGCCCCGTCGGGAGCGAGTCTGCACTGGCTGATAGAGCCCTATCGGGTTTTGCCTGGCCGAGCACGATTCCCAGGCGCTAATGGAGCATCCCCCGTGCAGGAGGGGTGGCCGGTGAGGCTATCTCTGCGCCCAGATGCAGCAGAGATGGCCCATGGGCAGCCCTCAGCCCTGCCTGCTCCCCCCCACAGCAGTGGGGGGACCCCCAGGATGTCCCACCCCTCAGCCCCATCAGGGCACTGGTGCCCGGGCTGACATGGGGGCACAGCATCACCTGGGGGTGCAGTAGGGAGGGGGCATGTCTGGATGTCCTCCTGTGGAGTGTGGGTGCAGTGTGACCATGCTCTCTGTCCACGCATCTGTCTGTCCATCCATCCTTCTGTTTGGGCATCCATGTGTCTGCCCATCTATCCATCCATCCATCCATCCATCCATCCATCCGTCCGTCCGTCCGTCCATCCATCCATCCATCCCTCCCTCCCTCCCTCCCTCCATCCCTGTGTCCATCCACCCATCCATCCATGCAAATGGATGTGTCAAAACACACTCTCTAGAGCAAAAAGCAGCATTAAAAAAGGGTGTGTGCACCAGCTTCCCCTCCTCCTTTGTGGAGTCAGGACACCTGGGACATGAAGGTGGTGGTCGGGAGCATCAGGGGGGGTTCCTCTGCAAGCATCACTCCCCAGGCATCACCCCGGGGGCTGCCCAACCCTCTTGTGCACCCCCAAAAAAACCCTTTTAGACTTCAGGTGAGACGGATCCTCTTTCCCCGTCCCCCAGGCGGGAGGAGGGGGTGCAGGGTGGTGTTGGTGTTCCTCTTTCCCCATCCGCCGCCGTCCCCTGCGTGCTGCAGGGCATTGCCCACCCGCCGCCGCAGCAGCCGCCCGCCCGGTGCTGCCTTCTGCTTTTCTCCAAACCCAAAATAACCCCCGGGCCGCGGTGGGGGGGGACGCCAGGGGTGACACTTCCTCTTTCTGAGCCACCGTCGCCACCGCTGGGGACTCTCGAGTGGGGCTGAACCCAGGGGACGTGGGCGCAGCTGCTGGGGCTGGAGCAGAGATGTCAGGCGTGGGGCCCGTTGGAGCATCCGACCCACGGGATGCCCAGCTCATTGTCTGGACCAACCCAACGCCCCCCACATTCCCATCTCCCCACTGGTGCGGATGGCTTGGTGTGGACACACGGACTGTGTGGCTTTGTCCCATGGAGTGGCCGGGGGTGCGCTGGGGTCCCACATCCCCAGGGGGTCCCCACCTCAAGTAGAAAGCCCCGTGTGTCCACAGGGTGTCCGAGGGCATCCTGCCCTGGTCCCGCTCTTCCCCAGAAAGCGTCAGTGACTCCAGCTGGGCTTTCCCACCTGGAGCTGGAGCTTCCCCCTGCTCCCACCCCAAACGCCCTTGGGAGCCATGGGACTGATCCTGGTTGG